GATACCCAAACAGGGGATGAGCTGGAGATGTCTCTGCCTTGGTCCTTTCACTATTGGCTGATACTTCACGGCAGATGTCAGGTGGTGCAATACCGGCTAAGCAATGTAATTTCTCCAGCGGTGTAGGGCACAGACACCCTGTGATAATGCGGCATGTCTCATTAAGAGCCACATCCACTGTTTTAGCGTGGTGAGATGTGTTCCACACTGGGCATGCATACTCAGCAGCAGAGTAGCATAGCGCAAGGGCAGATGTCTTCACTGTGTCTGGTTGTGATCCCCAGGTTGTGCCAGTCAGCTTTCGTATGATGTTGTTTCTAGCGCCCAGTTTTTGTTTGATGTTCAGGCAGTGCTTCTTGTAAGTCAGAGCACGGTCCAAAGTGACTCCCAGGTATTTGGGTGTGTTGCAATGCTCCAGTGGGATTCCTTCCCAGGTAATCCTCAGAGCTCGGGATGCTTGTCTGTTCTTAAGGTGAAAGGCGCATGTCTGTGTTTTAGATGGATTAGGGATCAGAGGAAGATAGAAAGTTGGTATCATAAAGGAAACCAGCTAGTCCAATGTGGGCTAGGCAAAACTACGGTGAGGTGGATCTATAATTGGTTAAATGGACGAACTCAGAGGGTGCTCACCAATGCTTCCTCTTCATCTTGGAAAGAAGTGACGAGCGGAGTGCCATCAGCAGGGTTCCGTCCTGGGCCCGGTCCTGTTCAACATCTTTGTTAATGACTTAGACCAGGGGTCCTCAAACTAATGCCCGAGGGCCGGATGTGGCCCTCCAAGGTCATTTACCCGGCCCTCGCTCAGAGTCAGCCTAAGGCTGAAACGAATTGAAAGCACACAACAACAAGAACAACAACAACAACAACAATACCAACAACAGCAATCCTATCTCATCGGCCAAAAGTAGGCCCACACTTCCCATTGAAATACTAATAAGTTTATACTTGTTAAAATTGTTCTTCATTTTAATTATTGTATTGTTTTAAGGTTTTTTTGCAGTGCAAATAAGATATGTGCAGTGCGCATAGGAATTCATTCATGTTTTTTTCAAATTACAATCCGGCCCTCCAACAGTTTGAGGGACTGTGACCTGG